TATATATATATATATATAAACTATCTATCTGTAGGATTCTTCTCACTGGATTCTTCTCCCAGAATTCTTCTCACTCAGCTACATGCCAAACGCTTTTATTTTTTATTTTGAGACTGCATCTTGCTAAGCCCCTAAATTTCCAGGCTGGCTCAAACTGGCAGTCCTCCTGCTTCAGCTTCCCACATTGTTGGGTTTTATTTTGAGTCAGGGTCTTACTAAATTACTAAATTTGCCAGGCTGGGCTTATTTTTTAAAGTTTCATACATTAAAAATTGAGTAAATATATGTGCCCTTTTTGCAATCAGTTAGTACTTTAAATCATATTTAAATATTTGATACTCCTGCCTCAGCCTCTCAAAGTGCTAGGATTACAAGTGTGTACTATCACATTCAGCTTAATATTTATATTTTAAATAGAATCTTTTAAAAAATATATAGATATATTCTGGGTTGGGCATGTTCTGGATTGGGTGCACCCTGTCATTACTCTCCTTATAGTCCACAATTCTCTTGAGTTCTATAAACTGTATAGTAACACTACTAATAATATTAGAAGCCCTAAGTTATGCATGGACAGTTCCTCCTATGGAATGCCTCTCCGCTATGCCACCCTGCCTTGGAGCCAGCTAACTATGGACTGAAACCTCTACAATCTGTGAACCAAAATAAACCGTTCCTCCTTTAACTTTGGATGTCAGGTATTTTGTCTCAGCAATTGGAAAAGTAACTAAGATAGATGGCATTCTTAAAAGGGAAATCCCTTTGAATCATTTGTAAAATTTAAATAATTTTATATTTATACAACCTATCATTTTCTATAAAAATACTCTATTTTGTTTTTCTTTTCATTGAGATTCTTTGAGCTATGGTAATTTGGACAGTGGTATAAAGAATAAATTCAACATTTTAATATTCATTTTCTTACACAGTCGTTAAATTATAATTCCAAATAATTTCTAGACAATGTTCTTAAAATGTTTAAAATCTGTAAGTTGGAGTAAAAGAATCCTAAATGAAGAAAAATGTGCGGTCAAAGACATTTCTATTTCAATTGAGAAACGGTGAGACACGAATTCTGGGTAGCCATCTTATCTACCTTTACCTTTTCAAAGTCTTCTGTAGTGAACTGTTTAGAAGCTAAATTAAGTAGCCCTTCCGGATCAGTGGCTTTCTTTAAGGTATGTTGCACAGTTGGAAGAAGTGGGTGGCAAGGAGAAAATTCATTGCAGTTAATCAGTAATCCAAATGCTTCCACAAAGTTAGCTGGAATCAAACTGCAATTCTACATCAAACCAAAATGTAACAGGTAAGCGGTAAGCCTTGACCAATTTGGAAAAATTAACTAGAAACTTATCATGATATATATAACATTTAATTACTTGTTACCAATACTGTAGGAGTACAAGGTTGAGAAGTATCAACATTTTATTATTAATTAAAATTTAAACCAATTTTTCAATGGCCTGGGGACTTGTGGACAGCAATTTCCTTTTACAAAGTTTTTACTTAATACTTTTTTTACATATTACTTATTAAAGACTTCCAACTACGGACTCAAATGGAAATTTCTATTGACTAGTCATCTTATCTGCATAACTAAAAAACATTAAAACTTTCAGGATGTACCTCAGTCATAGAGCACTTGCCTCGCATGCTCAAGGCCCTGGGTCTGACCCTAGCATCACAGACACACACACATACACACACACGGATACACACAAATTTAAACAACTGAGTCATTATTTAATTGCAGTACTTAATATAGAAATGGGTTAATAACAAAAAATTAAAAAGACATATTAAAATTCATGACTAAGTTCCCTGAACACTGTTTTAATAACATAAATATGTACTTTACCATCTGACCAATTAGAGTGTTGGTTTTCTGTACATTTCTCCTTGAAGATGAATCCATATCAACAAAAGACCAAAAACTGCACTGAACTGGAAAAGTCATTTGTTGATCTATATCATCCCCAAACTTCTTTCCTGGGATGTATACTGTAATGCTTCTGCTCTCCAGAACTAAGTTAGAAGACATTAGCCTTTCATTATTTAAGTTCATTTTTGCCTATATGTTTACAAGTTAATAACAAATACTATATAAAATTTTCCTGTTTAAAGTTCAGAGAGTGAAAACACAAATTTGATTGTCTTGAGAGATACTGTTAAATTAGAGCACTTGACATAAAAAGAACAAGACAAAAAAAACGTGAATGTGTATAATGTCTCATGATTGATGAGAACTATCAGTCCAAAGCATGTAGGTGGAATTAGAGTTGGGTACCTGCGTGAAATAAGCAGAACGCTAGGAGATTGGTTATATAGTACAGGCTTACAAGGGAGACTGAAATCAACTAGTGTCACTTTAGGTTAAAAAAACAATGATAGAAAGTGGGTCATCCATTTGGGAAGGTGTAGGGAAAAGACAAGAACAAGAACTACAAGGACTGGGGCTAATATATTTCAAAATCAACATGTTACAAATAAAAGCCATCATTTAATCCTCCTCTTCTCCATGGCTTTGTTTTCATTACTTCACAACTGATGGTATACCATTCATCCACTTAAACAAAAACCAAACCAAACCAAACCACCAAAATGAAAACATGCTATTTTTCCCTTTCTCTCTTTCCTTCACCCTTTATAATCACCCAATCTATGGATTTAACTCTATTCATTGGATTCTACATTCCAAAGTTTTCAAGTTAATCTTTTAAAATTTATAACAACTGTCATTTGTATCCATTTTTTTTTCTCCTAGGTCATATGATAAATGTATATTTAACTTTATAGAAACTTACAGAGCAGTTTTCAAAATGGCTGTACCACCTGATACTCTTGCCAGCAATATATGAGTATCCAGGTATTCCAGACCCTCAACAACAGTTTTTGTTGTCACTCTTTTTAATTTTTACCATACTAGTAGTCGGGACAAATAACATAGTTTGTGGGGTCCACTGTAAAACAAAAATCTGGGCCTCTTGTTTAAAAAGCAGAAATAATACTGCTGTTAAAGTACTAATATACAAAGGTTTTTTCTTTAAAAAGTATTTTAGTACACACAAAATGTAATGAGATGACATGGAGAAATTGTATCCCTCATGAATTGCTGGTGGGAATATACAGTGGTGCAGTTCCTGAGGAAAACAGCCTGACAATTCCTCAAAAAGTTAAACATTAAAGCTTGGTATGGTGGTGAATGCCTGTACGCCCAGTACTATGGGAGGCTGAGGCAGGAGGATCATAAGTTTGAGCCCAGCCTGGGCAGCTTAGCAATTTATGAGACCCTGTCTCAAAATTAAAAATAAAGTGCTTCAGATACAGCTCAGTGAAGAGTCCCTGGGTTCAATCTCCAACATCACATAAACACACAAAAGAGAAATTAAAACACTAATATACCATAGGATCCTGTAATTCCACTCCCAGGTTATATTCAAAAGTGTTGAAAGTAAGGACTCAAACATATTTAGATCAATAAGCGTTGCAGCATTAGTCACAAAAATCCAAAGGTGGAAACAGCCCAAGTATCCATCAACAGAAGAATGGATTTCTAAAGTGGTCTTTTATAGAATATTATTCAACCATAAAAAGGAATGAAATCCTATTAATAGGCAAGTACACAGAGACAGGATGTTACCAGGAACTACGGGGAGGTGAAGCCAGGGGATTCATGTTTAGTGGATATAGTTTCTGTCTGGGATGATGTTATGGAAATGGACAGTGGTGAAAATTAACCAATACTGTGAATGCACTTAGTGCCACTGTATTGTGTACTTTTAAATTGTTAAAATAACAAGTCTTATGTGTATTTTATCACAATAAAAAGGAATGAAGTATTGATATGTGCTATAACATGGATGAAACTCAAAAACATTATGTTAAATAAAAGAATCCAGTCACAGGAGACTATATGTTATGTAATTACATTTATAGCAAATGTTCAGAAGAGGTAAATCTGTAGCCACAGAAGGCAAGTCTGGTTCAAACAGAAAGTATGGTTTTTTGAGTCTGTTACTGAACCTTCTCAGCTGAAGATGTGTTGATACAAAATATGAGCACTAATTGCAGTGTACCTGTAGTGTGTGGAAGTTCAGTGAAAATCAAACCCAAAATAGGTGTGTTACGGAAGCTGTAGAAGATAATGCTGTAATAGGACAGCAAGGTACTGTCTACACATAGAGAGATGCATTTTCCTGTGCTTGTGTTTAAACTCCATTCTCATTGAATTTCTATGCAAAATACAAGTTCACAGATAAAGTTATTAAAAAGTTGGAGATGGTAATAGCAGAGTTTTTAACCACAGTCCAGGCTTCTCTGAAGGGAAGTACTTGTTCCATACCCTGAATCATTGAGTTTTGGTGTCTCATTGTGGTTTTTCTTTTAATTTTCCTGAGGACTCATGATGTTCAGTCCTCTTTCATGTGCTTTATGGTCATTTTTAATATTCTCCTTTGTGAAGTTACTATTGCATTCTGTCTTACTTTTCTCATTGCTGAGACAAAATACTGGACATATAAAGTTAAACGAGGAAAGGTTCATTTAGTCCACAGTTTGTAGAGGTTTCAGCCCAACAGCTGACTCCAAGGCAGCGTGGCTTGGCACATGGGCATCACGGAAGAGAAACAGTTCATGGCGAGCTGAAGGTAGCAAAGCAAGCAAGGAACAAGCCAATCCTCTTTCTGCCCCTTATACTGCATCCAGGTTACTGGGATTAGGGCAGTGCCAAGCCAAACAGTGGACTGATTTACTAATCACCAACCTTTAATCCTAACACCATTAATCCTAGCATTGCACCATGAATTAACTACACGCTCTAGATTCAGAGTCTTTGAAAAAGCCCACCCATGACTGCTTGAGGGTTGAGGGGACATCTAGCCTCAAGCATTAACAAAGTTTTCTGTCCATTTTTTAAAAATGCTTTTGTTTTGGTTTGGTGCTTTAGTCCCAGGTACACACAGATGCTGGGCCTATACTCTACCACTGAGCCCAAAGGTTGTATTTTAAGTTTCTGACTTATATTCTGGTTATATATCCTAGGTAAAAATGTAATTATTGTCATTCTTTTCTTTGCCTAGCTACCCACTTTTCTTTTTTCTAATATTTCCTATTTCTTTTCTTTTTCTGTGGCACTAGAGATTTGGACCCAGGGCTTTTGTTTTGAGCTACATCTCCAGCCCTTTTTCTATTTTTCATTTTGAGGCAGAGTCTTACTAAGTTGCCCAGGGTGAGTTCAAACTTGCAACTCTCCTGCCTGAGCCTCCCGGAGTGCTGGAATTACAGGTGTGTGCCACCTCCCGGAGTACTAGTCATATTTTTTCAATTCCTTTTTTTAGCATATGTTTGCAATTTATGCAGTTTATAATCATTTTGGGGAGTGGTTACATGTACATATTACAGCATGTTTCCTTTTTAATCCCCTTCCCTTCCCTCCCCTGCCTCCTCCCCACTGTTTTCCCCATCTCTTTTTTCATACTTGTCGATATTATTTTTCTAAGCTCATGCTTTGTCATATAGTGTTTATATTAATTGGGGTTATTAGGCTCCTGTATATAGCACATCTTTATTCTTATTTCTCTTTCCCCTCCTCCTCACCTTTCACCCTTGTTCCCTTGGACCACTTCCCTATTGCAAGAGATCTGTCCCCTTGTCCCTTTCTATTCATTTTATATCATTTTTTTGTTTGTACTTGGCCTCACTCAAATGAGAAATACCATATGGAATTTAAGCTTGTGTGTCTGATTTATTTCACTCAATATTTTCCAGGTGCATCCATATTCCTTCAAATATCTCAAATGTGTCATTCTTGATAGCTAAGTAGTTTTCTATTACATATAGATATCACATTTTCTTTGTCCAATTGTCTATTGGTAGGTACACAGGCTACTTCCAATATTTAGCTATTATGAATTGCACTGCTATAAACATTGGTAGGCATGTATAACTGTACTTTGATGACTTCAGCTCTTTGGAGATGATACCTAGGAGGGGGTTAGCTGAGTCATATGGAATTTCTCATTTCAGTTCTTTAAGAAACCTCCATACTGATTTCCATAATGGTTGTACTACTTTGCATCTCCACCAACAATGGAGAAGCCATACCAGCATTTATTATTGTTTAATTTCCCAATGACTGCCATTCTTTCCAGAGTAAGATGGAATCTTCACATTGTCTTTTTTTTTTTTTTTTTTTTTTTTTTACTAGAGAAACACATTTAATACAAGATATACAAAGTGACAAAAGTTTACGGGACTTTGCATTGTTTTAATCTGCATCTTTTTAATAGCTGGAGAGGCTGAACATTTTTTCATATATTTGTTGGCCATTTGTATTTCTTTCTCTGTGAAGTGTCTGTTCATTTCTCTTTCCCATTTCATGATCTTTAATTTTAGATGGTTTAGTTTTTTCAGTTTTTTGTATATTCTAGATATTAGTTCTCTGTCTGAGGAGCAGCTGGCAAATTTTTTTTTCCATTCTGTAGGTTGTCTCTTAACTATACTGATTGATTCTTTTGCTTTTTAGTCTGATGTAATGCTGTTTGTTGATTCTTCCTGCTATTTCTTGCACAACTGAGGTTCTATTTAGAAAATCCTTTCCTACATCTATGTCTTCAAGTGTTTTATCTCTTTTGTCTTGCAGAAGGTTCAGTATTTCCATTTTAATGTTTAGATTTTGATCTATTTTGATTTAAATTTAGTATACAGTGAGTGATAAGGGGCCAGTTTCATTCTTCTGCAAGCAGATAACTAGTTTTCCCAACTACTTGTTCAGTAGGCTATCTTTCCTCCAACATATGCTTTTGCACCCTTTGTCAAAGACTAAATTGTTAACTATGTCTGAAGAGGTTTCTGTATCCTCAATTCTGTTCCATTGCTCCATGTGTCTGTTTTTGTACCAGTCCTGTGCCATTTTTGTCACTACTGCTTTGTAGTATAGCTTGAAATCAGGTATAATAATGCATCCTGCTTTGCTCTTGTTGCCCAAAATTGCTTTTGCTACTCTAGGTCTCTTATTGATTTCATATGCATTTTAGTATTGTTTTCTCTAGATTTGTAAAGTATGCTACTTATATCTGTATAAAGTATCCTACTTGTATCTAACTATATATCTATCTATCCATCTATCATCTATCATTTTTCTATCTTTTAATTATATGTAGCCCCCTCTTTTTTCTCCTGTCTTTTTTTGGGGTACTGCAGGTTGGGGACTAGAGAAGTGAGAAGAGTTTGTGGCTTATATGGAGCTTTTTAGTAGAATGTTGCCTCCCTGTGGATAATTTTTAGCTTTGTATGTCCAGTGCTAGCATTTACTCCTGTTGTTTAGTTTAAGTGACTTTGAATCTGTCCCTATGTCTTGCTGAAAGAATTTCTTCTATTTATAACAGGATCCACAGGTTTAATCTTACTTCTGCATGACGGTTCTTGCAGTTATTCTATCCCTCTTTGTCTACTCTCTATAGCACACTATGTTTGTTATTTGTGATTGTTCTGCAGTGAGAAAGGTGAGATGGGCTGGGGAGAATGGGGGCTGTTTGGAGAGTAGTGTTAGGTACTAAGGGGGAGATTTGAAGGGGACTCAAGTGATAGATTATAAGAAAAAGTTGATGTGGGTCTTACTTTATTGGAGTATTTTTAGTTGAATTAAGGTTTAGTATTGAGAATTTTCAGAGGATAGTTTTGGGGGGCAAGGGCAAGATATGGGAGAAAGGAGGTTCACTTTGTGATTAAGGAAAGCTACATGGTTAAGGAACTTGCTTATAGGGCAGACAATAAGGTAGGTAAGACATAGAAGAGTCTAAAGCTTAGATGGGGAAGATCGAGGAATTATACTAGTGAAGGTCGCAGTGACTGTGAGGGGGCTAACTATGGTGAATTTAAAACCTGAGGGGAGTTTATGTGCTTGGAAAAAGAATAAAGATATATGTTAATAATATTCTCTTAGAGGTTTGAGGTGGAGAAACTGAATAAAGAGCTTAGATGAGGAAGAGAACCCAGATACCTATTAAATTAGAGCCAATGAAAGAGCAAATATACAACAGTAACAAGCTAATATATACATGAAACCATAAAAGACCGTAACATAACCTCACCTTGCTAAATAATGCAAGAAGCATACAAAAACTTAAACAAATAAGTGTCCGATGGGAACACAAATTAGATATCCCAGTAAGACATGATATATGTGATTCATGAGTAGCTTCTTTGCTAGAGAGTCTGAGCGCTCACACCCCAATTGCTCCTCTGATCCCTCCACCACAATACTGAAGTTAACTCAGAATTAGGACTTCCTTCTGCCAGGTTGCAGCCATTCTTGCAGAGTTTAAGCCAGTCTGAGTTCTTGGGTTAGGAACTCTTGCTGTACTTCTCCCTGGGTGTGATAATGGATTCAGCAGACAAGTTCCCTAGCACTAAATTATGCAATGAGTCAGGATTATTCCTATGCAATCAATTCAACTACGACAGTAACAGGCTAATCCATTATAGTGGTATCTATCATGTCCAGCTGAGAAATAACGTAACACAAGACTCTTTTTCGGGGTCTCCCTTTAGCAGTGGGAACATGGTTCCAGTGTGAGCCTCCAATACTGTCTAACTCAGGCTGAAACTGGTGTCTGACTCCAGGAACAAAACCTGTGATCACCAGTCCCTGCTTCTCCCTGGCCTTCCCTCAGCCTGCTCTCCGACTGCCAGCAGTCTCTCATGACTGTCTGTCCCTCATCCCCTCTGGTAACATGGCAGTGTGAAGCAGCCAAGGGGCTGTTCTGAGACTGTGGTTCAAACACCCAACCTTTCCCCACAATGGTGTTCCCACCAGACCCTGCTCCTCATGACTATGTCATCAGGTACTTGTACCCTAGTCACTCACCAACTATTGACTCTGGGCCAGTGTTTCCTATTCTTCCTACTGTCACTAACTTTGTAAGATTCTCCTGCTCTTGAAACAGTTCTCTGTGAGAAGAGACATTACTAATTTCACTTTGCCTCCCAACTGGTAGGTAACGAGCTGCTATAGGCAGTGCCGTGGTTTCTGCTCTGCACCATGGACCACCTCTTTTGTATCACTTAATACTATTTTCTTCTCCTCTGTCAGTGCCTTTGTGGTTCCCAAGTATACTTCTCTCACTTTGGTTCCAATCCCAGCCACTGTCCTCCAGACACTTTGTCCTGGAGAAGCCAAGGTGCTGGCACTTACTGCTCTACCATCGTATTTCTAGCCACCATTCATATTTGTAATGAGGACTTTTAATGTATGCAACTCTCTAGTTTTGGGGAAGCCCAACTTCTTATTTTCTTTAATGTTTAGTGCTGAGTCCTGTCTAAAAAATATTTCCTACATTTTGTCATGAAGATAGTCTATGTTTTCTTCTAGCAGATTTATAGTTTTAGTTTTTCACATTTAGCTTTATGATCCATCTCAAATTCATTACTGTACATAACTGTGAGTTTGAGCTGAGATTAATTTTTCTGACCTACAGTGGTACCTTGGTTCATGAACTTAAATGTTTCCATGATTCTGGTTCCAAACTGAATTGGATGAGAACCAAACCAAATTTCCTCATAAGGTCAACACTGAACCTAATCACTGCATTTGATTCAGTTTGCATTCAATCTGGTTTGTGCCCAGGACTGTGGAAAGAATTAAACTCATGAACTGAGGTCCGACTGTACAAAGACGTTCCACTATCATTTTTCTTTGGTAGTATGGTAAAAAGTCACCCAACCAGGGCTGGGTATGTAACTCAGTAGCAGAGTACTTGCCTTGCATGCTCAAGGCCTTGGGTTAGATCCCTGACACTGCCAAAAAATAAATAAAATAAAATAAAATAAAATAAGATAATCAATTGACCACATTAGTGTATGTTTGCTCCTGTTAGGTGAATCAATATACTATGTGCCCTGAGAATTCTTGTATATTTATTCTGGTGCCAAGAGGCAAAGCCCTGATTGCTATTTGGCCAGTTCACAGCTGTCCACAACCTTGTTAGTCATAAATTTGACTTAACCACCATTACCTTATTACCAAAACTAGACAAAGACATAAAAAAACTACAGATCAGTATCTCTCATGAACATAAATGTAAAAGTCCTCAACAGAATAATAAATCAAATCCAACGATGTATAAAAATATTCATACACCACAACCAAATGAAATTTATCCATTATGTATGCAGAGCTGGCTCAACACTCAAAGTTATTTAATATAAGCTATCATATCAATAAATTAAAAGAGAAATGTCACATGATCATATTAATAGTTGCAAAAAACTGCATTTGACAAAATCCAACACCCATTCACAATAAAAATCTTTCAGCAAATATGAATACAGAACTTCCTAAAAAATGTTCCAAAATATCTACAAAAAGCATACAGTTAACATCATACTTAATGGTGAGAACCTTGAAGTTTTCCCACTAAGATCAGGAGCCAGGCTAGAATATAACTTCTCACCAGCACTTTTCAACATTGAACTGAAAGTCTTAGCTAGTGCATTATGAAGAAGAAATAAATCTGGCCCAGTGTAAAGTCATGTGTAAGTACAACTTAAAGCAAAGGCTAAAACAATGCATTTATATGTTAAGTTCTTGTTTTTTCTTATGAAACTAAAATGAGAAATGACATTTAATATAGTTTCTCAACTCCTAAAACATGTGCACTATTATCTTTACTGTTAAGTAATTCCTTGGCACTAATAAGCCTAAGTTAAATAGGTAACAATTAATTTAAAAATATTGTTTACCTGATTGAAGTTGTTCAAGTTTATCTTTTTTATGTGAGCATAAGTCTCCTATAAAGCAGACACCACCTTTAGCTAGCAAAGCACTGCCAGCTTGAATGCTAACTGCTCCAGTTCCATATTTATTTCTGGATAGAGTAGGAAAAATTTCAGCAGAGACTGGATGATGTATACCACGGGGAACAAGGTTTATGCTAAAATTCAAAAGTCTAAAGGAAAAATAAATCAGTCATTATTACTATTTAATATTTGACATTTAGAAGTCATATATGTTAACAGTTACACAATTAAATTTGATTCAGCGTCTGCTGAGCACCCATAATATATGTACTAGGTTAAAAACATCCGTAACCTTGGTTCTTAACTTAGACAGTTCATAGCCTAGGAAGACAAACATAAAAAACTAATACACAATGTAATAGGTACTAAAGTAATGTATCGAGAATACTCATAGGGGAATATTATTTCTTCCTGGAAAGAAGTCAGAGAAAGCTTCTGGGTTATTCTTTTTTTAGGGATTGCTTTCTTTTGCATATTCAAAATTTTACATTAGGCTTGCTAATGTCCCATCATGACTATTTCTGCTGCTTTTGTATCATAGCAACTCTAGATATACCCTCTTAGTTTCTAACTTTGCTAATTGCCTCATTCTCTTCACTTCAAATTCTGAGAAAGGAACATAATTATTTCAGCTTAGCTCTAAAATGGTTGCCACAGAGATCTGTTGCTGATGCAGTCAACTGAGGAGCAGCACAGACTTGCAGTGCAAAAGAGGCTGAGTAGTACTCAGATGGGGATAATCAGACACTATAAAAAGTCTTCAAATGGGAGCTTAAAGGTACATGAAATGAGGAAAAAAGGATTAAAATATGATCTCTATATGATCAATTCTCCATGATGAATATAATATTGTATGTCACAAACATACACTAATAAAGAAAGATATATGAGGGACTGAAATTACAAAGAAACTTTTCAAGCCTATAAAACAGTGGTTTTCAGCCTTAGACTGCGTTAAAATCACTGAGGAGCTTTTAAACAAATTTTAATGCTGAGCAATCCCAAACTACTGAAGTTAGAAAATGGAGATGGTATACATTTATAGATATTTTAAAATTTTAATTAGAACAATTATAGATAGGTTCTCACTATGTGGGTCACATTGGTCTTGACCTCCTGAGCTAGTGATTATTTAATTTTAATAAAACGTTATTCAATTATGTTAATCTAACTTGAAGTGTTTAGTTTTTAGTTTTTCGGTTCTCTGTCCCTCTTTTTGTCTCTCTCTTTCTCTCTCTCTGTGTGTGTGTGTAGGCTGAATCCAGGAACTACTCAGCTACATTCCCATCTTTTTCAATCTTATTATGTTTTTTGAGACAGGGTCTCTCCGTATAGTTCAGGTTGGCCTTGGACTCAGTGTTTAGTCTAGGCTGGCCTCAAACTCATGGCAATCCTCCCATCAGCCTCCCAAGTGATGGGATTACAGAATATTTTTTATCTTTTGAGACAGGGTCTCCCTACGTTGCCCTGGTTGACTTCGAATTTGCTATCTTCTTGCCTCACCTGGGATTATGTGTACCACCATGTGCAGGTTAATTTGAAGTTTCAAAAATTTCAAATTCTTTCCATAAATTCATTTGCTTTAGAATGACATACAAGATATTAACAGAGTTTATTCCTACATTTATGAACATTTAAGTAACTTTTTAAAAAGTGTACTTGCTAGAAGGGAGTCTCTAAATGCTAAGTAGATACTCCCCCCAAAAGAGTCCCAGTGACTTTTACACTTTTTATAGTCTTGTTTGGGGGTAGTGAAAATTATTACTGAATGATATGTATAAGGAAAAGAAGAAAATGGCTTGTTGGCTCTTGGGGGAAGTTTATTTAAATATGAAAACAAGGTACAAAAGCAGAACACTTGTCTAAGGAGTGGATTTGGAAGGAGCCTAAAGAAGATGCATTTACTGTATTTGTAAAGGTCTGAGTGGTGGAATAGGTTGAAATTTTGAGTGGTTAGATTCTCAAAATGTGGAAAGAAATATCCCAGTTCTCAAGCCATGATTAAAAACTTTTCAACTTCATTGATGAAAATTGATTTAAATACTTACAGTTCTCAGATTAAAATTTCACATTGTAATAATACTAATGGGAAGTACTTATGCAATTCTGCAACCAACTTACGCTTTGAAAAAATCATGGCATATATTTTACCTGTCTACAAGTAGAGTATCACTTGTTATAATTAAAATATCCAGACAATTTTCTAGTTCCTTCTTACAATCACTTGTCTGTACTAGACTCATCAACAGGCACAACTTGAGCAAATTGTAAGTCCCAGGAGGAACAATTTGTGATGCAAAGATATTGGCAAGTATTGCTGTAAATTTCCAGCATGAACCAGAAGTCAAGGAGAGGAGACAATTGAAGTTATCACTAATGCCTGAAGAAACTGAAAGTAAGAAAAATAGTATTATAGGTATATGATTCCACTTATCCAAAATATCATAGTTCTTCTAGTGATGGACTATTCAAATTTTGTAAAATTAAATTATGATTGGAGGTCATGCTTATCTGTTATTTCTATCTCAGAGAATGTAATAAGAGGAAATAGTCACTTAATGAGCCCACATAAATTGGTTATGAGTTGAAGGCAAATCTCCTTTTAAGACATATATAAGCAAGGCAGATCATGGTGCTCTTCGGCTGCTTACTGTATTTGCTCCTATATTTCTATGTTTGAAATAATATTACCTTAAAGAACTAATGTGAAGTATTGGAATGTTGTAGCTTAAAGGAATCATTTGTATTTTGCATTCTGAAATCACTGTACTATACTATACTGTAACAACCTAGTTCTTCTCTATTCCTCATTTTCTCCAATTCCTGAAAAGTACAAGTGTTCTGGCTTAAATATGAAGTGTTCCCCCCAAACGCTTGCATTAAGGGCTTATCCTTAATGCAGCAATGTTCTCAGGTGGGGCCTAGAAAGGTGACTGGATCACGAAAGTGCTCACCTCATCAGTGGGTTAACCCACTGATGAGTTGGTAGCTAAATGGCCAATTAGGAGGTAGGGCCCAGTTGGAATTAGTGGATCACCAGGAGCATGATTTTGAAGGGTATATCTTGTCTAAAACCCCTTCTTCTCTGTTTTTTCCCCTTTTTCTCTGCTTCCCAGCTCCACCAGGTGAGTAGCTATCATTTGCCACACCCTTTTGCATGCTGTTTCGGTCTCATTACAGACCTGAAAGCAATGGAACTGGTTAACCATGGGCTGAAACCTCTGCAACTGTGACTCTTTCCTCTTATCAGTTGTTCTTCTTAGGTGCTTGGTCTCAGAGATGAAAAGCTGACTAACACCACAAGTAATTTATTCAATAGTCAGTGTGGGGCAATGGCTGTGCATGCATACTGCAGTTCTTTCCTCCTTCCACTTGGCCCGTGGTCATAGACTGCATCATGATTTCCTCTACTCACTCATGCTCATGGCCTGAGAGAGGCCTGCCTTAGTCTGACTCTTGCCACACACGAATGGTTAAATCTGCTTTAATCTGGAGGGCAACATAAGAAAGCATATCTCTCTACTTACATCTAAATTATGTTCTGCTACCAGATTAGTAAATCTTGAAATACTTAACACTGGAAAATAGAAAAAGATCACTAAATTATCTACAGTCCATTAGTGCTTAGTTTATTCAACATTTTTGTTCACTTAAAAAAAAAAAAAAGAGCCAGGCTCAGGGGCACATACCTGTGAAGCAGGATTTAAAAAGAAAATGTCAAGTTTCCCAAACTTCCCCCTCCCTATAGCTGTTGTTCTTTGTTCTAATACAGATAAAAGCAGTAAATTTTGTCCCTATAAGTAAAATTTAATGTAAAATGTTATGTTCCCATAACATTCTGTTAGGGCCACCAAGATACAAAACTGTCATAGCTTGACAAAGATGTCTTTGTTCTCCTCCTTCCTATCCACAAGTTCTGTGTTGAAGACAATAAAATCCTCCTGTTAGGCATCAAAGTTGTACAACATTATCCACATTTCATTTTCTTCATGACATTTACTGTCAGAAATGATAGTATGGATTGTTTCTACTTTTTATTGACCATCTACTACATGACTTAAGAGCAGGAACCTGGCTGTCCTGTATCCCTAGTGCTCAGAAGAGTGGCTGGCACAAAGACAAATAATACTTATTTGCTGAATGGATTCATTGAAATTTAAATGTTTGTTAATATATGATTTTCCTTACCTTTTGGATTGCAAAAAATGATGCTGTTTGCTTCTATGCAGAGAGCAGTTTGTGAGCTTTTGACACAGGCTGGAATTCCAATAATTTTATACTCATTTCCTATATTTATTTTGTTTACTAATTCATCTAAAATTTTAAAAACAGAAGAAAATAGTACATAATCATATGTTTCAAACATCTAGAACCAGTAATTTAGTGGTGGGGTAAGTAATAAAGTAGTTAATTTTGTTTAGTATAATATCCATATATAATGTCAATAATGTAAACTGAGGCAGTTTCCTGATTTATTTTATACTTGTGTGTAACAGGAATTACCCAAGAAGCATGTGATAGTACTCTTCTATACTACAGTCAAGAGTAAAAATTTATTCTGTATAAATGAAACATCTTTCTATTAAATGGCAAGGAATGTTAATAAAATGACCTTATATGCAATACTATTATTTGGAAAGAAAATAATTTTAGAAAGTACCATTCGTTGCCTATAATATTTGTAAGATATATGTATGTATATTATACCACTTTAAACTTTAAAGTAGATATTATTTCCACTTTGTTCATAAAGGAAGCTGAAAAGGTAAGTAAATTACACAAGGCTACATATCTAGTTAATGGCAGAACTGAAACTCATTCTATTTCAGCTTGCTTCTAAAGTCTATCCTTCTACACAGGGTTAGGTTCTTCAGTTACACATACAGAATGGGTAAAGCTTTTGTATAAGTTCAATTTGAAAAACACACTAAAAGCTTTGATCCTCTGTTGCACCATTGGAAGTTGTTTCCTTGCAAAATCATGAAAGAAAGGTTTACAAGAGGTTTGCAAGTATAAAGTTCTCTCTGTGCAGAAGATCAGTGATCTTTTCCTCTATTCCTTCTTAATACTAAAGAGCACACTGGTATACCTGTAAACTGATAGGGAAGAATCAGGCTCAAAAAGTTGAGAAAGTAAAAACAAACACTAACGGGAAATCCTCTAAGGCCAGCTACCTGGGAGATGAAGCTGGAGGATCACAAATTCAAGGAGAGTCTGGACAATTTAGTGAGACCCTGTCTCAAACTTAAAAAATAAAAAGGGCTGAGTATAGCTCAGTGCTCGCTGGGTTCAATTCTCAGTACTACCACCCACAACAAAACAAACAATAGCAAAAAAAATCACAAACACTAAAATCCCCCAAACAACCAACCAAATAAAAACCCTAAAAATAACTAAAGAATAAAGAATGAATTACAAGATGAAAATAAAAGCAAAGACTATTATATCTATAAGTAAATAGTTTTGGGGAGGGTTTTCTTTTGTTGTGCTACCTTCTTTTTTATTTTAAAGAGAAAAAATAACAATAAAACAATTTCAAAACAGGTTAGGAGAGTTACAATAATTAAAACATCACACATTGTTGTCTTTGTACTAGTTATTCAGAGCACAAGATATAGGCAGGATATTGAGACAAGGTCCTCTATGGAGTTCAGGCTGGCCTTGAACTCACTGTGTAGTCCATACTGGCCTTGAACTTGTGGCAATCCTCCTACCTCAGCCTTCCAAATGCTGGGATTACAAGCATGGACTACTACGCCCAACTAGTAAATAGTTTTTAAATATTTCATGAACTCTTAGAGTTTGGTGGATGTGTCCTCAGGTTACAGAAAGATCAAAAGGAAGGAAAGGAGACTGGACGGTCTGTGTGTCTCTTCTAATGTCAACTCAAAAGGCTGCTTAGGGCTGGGGCTATAACTCAGCGGCACAGCACCTGCCTGACAAGTGCAAGGTCCTGAGTTTGATTCCTGGTACCAAAAAAAAAGGCCTGCTTTTACTTGTTTAATTTAAAAAAATTATTTGGGAAGTTTCTTTACAGAAAATGTTTTCTACAAAAATGCAAATCAGATGGCAACTTACATTTTTATATTGCAATGCACATTTTATATGTATGTAACTACATATAGTATATAATGATATAGTTAAAACCACAGACTTTAAGGCTGATTGCCTCAGTGTGCATCTTGGCTACACAGTTTATGAGCTATGTGACTTTAGGCAAATTGTTAACCTATCTATGCTTTAGGTTCCACATCATAAAGTGGAAACAGTAATGTAAGAATGCTTGGCACATAATAATTGCTGTATACACCTATGTCTTCAAGGGTTGCACCTATTCTCTCTTCCAGAAGACCTAGTATTTTTGTTTTAATATTTAAATGTTTGATCCATTTTTATTTTGGTTTAGTGCACAATGATAGACATGGGTCTAGTTTTAGTCTTCAGCATGTGGAAAGTCAGCTTTTCCAGCACCACTTATTAAAGAAGCTATCTTTCTTTCAGTGTTTGGCCCCTTTGTCAAAGATTAGGTGGCTGAGTGTGTTTGGAGTTGTGTCTGCATCTTCTAATCTGTTCCACTGATACTCAGGTCTGGTTTTTTTGCCAGTACCATGCTGTTTTAATCCCAGTAGCTCTCTAGTACAATTTCAAGGCAGGAATTGTGATGCCCCCTTCCTTGCCTTTGTTGCCTAGAATTGTTTTTGCTATTCTAGATCTCTTCTGGTTTCAAATGAATTTTAGGAATGTTTTCTTTAGTTCTATAAGATATGCTATGGTATTTTGATTAGTATTGCATTAAATCTGTACAACAATTTTGGAAGTATGGCCATTTTGACTATGTTGGCTCATGAACGGAACTCCAATGGTACAGGAAATACTGCAAAGAATCAACAACTGGAATCTCATCTTATTAAAAAGTTTTGCACAGCAAAAGAAATCACCAACAGAGTGAAAAGACAATCCATAGAGTGGAAAAAATCTTAGTCAGTTGCTCTTAAGAGAAGGGGCTAATATTTAGAAGATATAAAGAACTGAAAAAAATCAGACCCCCAAATTTAAAGACCCAAACCAAAAATGGGCATCAGAAATGAACAGATACTTCTCAGAAGTACGAACAACAAATATTGAAAAAATATTCAACATTACTGTTCATTTAAGAGATGCAAATTAAAACAACATTGGGATTCCATATCACTTCAGAAAGAATGGCTATTATCAAGAAATCAAGCAATAATAAATGCTGGTGGGGCTTTGGAGGAAAAGGAGCACTTTTCCACTGTTGGTGGGAGTGTAGACTGGTGCAACCACTGTGGAAATCAGTGTGGAGATTCCTCAAAAAACTAGGACTAGAGGTCCCATTTGACTCAGCTATTCCCATTCTTGGTATCTTCCCAAAATAATTAAAAGCATTGTATCAGCTGGGCATGGTGGTGCATGCTTGCAATTCCAGCCCTCACAAGGCTGAGGCAGGAGGATCACTGTGAGTTCGAGACAAGCATAGGCTACAAAGTGAGCTCAAGGCCAGCCTGAACTGCATAGCAAGACGCTGTCTCAAAAAGACAAAAAAAGAGCATTATATCACAGTGATATATGTGCACCCATGTTTATAGCAGCACAGTTTGGAATAGCTAAATCTTGGAAACAACCCAAGTGCCCATCAACTGATGAATGGATAAAAAAGATGTTTTTAAAAATACAATGAAGTACTACTTAGCCATAAAGAAGGATAAACTTGAGACATTTCTAGATAAATGGATGGACCTTGAGACCATACTCTTAAGTGAAATAAATTTGACACATATGTGTAAATATCGCATTAACTCTCTGGAATGAGAAAGTGTATATAAGAACCAATAAGTATAATAAATATAATGAAATAAGAAATTGTTCAAAAGAAAGGGGGAACAGGGGATGGGGTGGAAGGGAGAAAAAAGAAAAAATGACAACAGAAGGATAAAATGGAAACAAAGATTTGTAAATAAGGAGGGGAAAAGGGGATGAAGGGAAGGAAGAGGAATGGGGACTAAGAGGAACTAAGATATATCATGTACAGGTACAAGTTCCCTATGAGGAATGTGATCATTATGTACATCTAAATTGTACCAATAAACTCAATAAAAATAATTGTGATGTAAAAAGTACTTCCTATCATCTCGGTTTATATGCTTCATCCTTGTTAGATCATGGGGAAAAGAGTTCCTTTTTAAGTGTACACGTTCCTAATTCCTCTGTTTCCTCTACATGGTTTGCATCAAAGAGCTCTCTTTCTGAACAGTTTTAATTTCTCCAGTTTCAGTCAAAAGAAAAAGTTTCAGCCCCATCGTCATTCTCATAGTCCTGGCTTCTCGGTGAAGATTTACTTCTTCTCTGAGTGACTGATACTCAGTGACCTCCTCCTCCATGGCATACTATCTAGTCATAGGTACTTAGCCATGTAGTTCTCAATAGATAATCAAATGTGAATGCTCCTTCATTTAAAAATATTCGAGTTTTTATTGCATGAAGGAAAAACCAAAGTTTTTAGTTTTGTGAAGTTTGTATACTAAAACAATAACCCCAGTCTTAACAATGACAAACGGATACAAAAAAATGAGGGATTGTTACCTTAAATGGCTATGAACCTGAGGATCAGCATAGTTATTGGGACATAGCAGGTGAGGGCTAATATTTTTAAAAAATGAATATTGTATGCCTGAATGAATAATTGATACATTAACTAAATATGACTTTAAAAAAAACTCAAGAATAAACTGCCTCGTCATTTTAAAGGTATAGAAACACATTCTTAACATATATGCATAAATAAGTCAATTCTGTACTTTTAGCAATTTTGAGTTTAAACAGAATTTACATACCTCTTAGGAAGATTGTAAAAGACTGAAACCTAAAGGGCTGGTTTTTAGAACATCCTTGAAAAGCATGAAGTGCTTTTGTGGTAATTATTTCAACTATCTGTTTATCTTCAGGCAAAGAATAAAACATTTATTATTAGAATATATATTCAATTTAATTTTTATATTAAAATATTGGATACTATTTTAAAAATCATAATTCCAAAAGCATAAATGCATTTTTACCACCAAGTACTCTAAATTTTCTGTCTTCTTGAAGTGGAGATGAACACAGGTTACACAAAAAGTCATTTCTTACTGTTGCAGATTCTGTAGCACCAGGCATGTGCACTCTGATATACTGAAATCCTGAAAGAAAGCAGTGGTAAGGTAAATTTGCTTTCAAATTTACCTATGTTCAATCATTTAATATTAATCTAATTCCAAGTATAATTGATTCAGTTTTGCACTGAAATCACTTGTTAGTTGATTTCAGAAAAATCAACCAACATTTATTGTGTGGCTGTTTCTTGCCAGGCACTGTGCTAAGGCACTGGTGTATTAAACACTGGATGCTTAAACACAGTTTCTATGTGTGTCAATGAGAAGCATGCTCTCCACATGTGGAATTCATTTGTACAGTGTACAGAGAGAAGAGAAGAGGTGCATCCAGCTCAGTTAGTTACTTTTCTTGTTGCTGAGACAAAATACCCAATGCCCAAAGTTGAAAGAGAAAAGGTGTGCTTGGCTCGAAGTTTGCAGAGGTTTCAGTTTATTGTTGGCTGGCTCCATGGCAGGGTGGCACGGCAAAGTGTATTGCAGAGGAGAAGCAGTTCAGGCAGGCAGAAGCAAAGCCATACACAAAAATCAATGAGCAGCAATAGGCAAGATCACAGCTCTTTCTTTCAGTCCCTTGTATTTTATCCAGGCTCCCTGCCCTTAGGGGGTAGCACTCACACTCTTAATCTTAGCACCCTTCATCCCAGCATTGCACCATAAATCAATCCCAGGGTCACACTCTCTAGATCCAGCCACCTCTGAAAAGCCCCACCTATGATCGATCCCATGAGGCTTTAGGGGAACATCTAGACACAAACCATAACGGGTGATAAACAGAAAAGATGTCCTGCAGAAAGGCTGAACTGGTGAAGCCAAAGTATGAGGAGAGCACATTAAATGGAGAGGGAACAGCATGAGTAAGCTGTCATAAAACAACGTATCAAAAGAACTGGAACTTCTGCAGTATAAGAGCATTTAAAATTGCTAGTGGGTACAAAGGGGAGGAAGAATTTTTTCAAGATTACGCAAAATAAATTATAAACACTTGAAGATATGAAATTTATTCTTTTACTACATTGTGGTTAGTAACTAAATTGTAAATATCATTTGGAATTAGACAAATTGCTTGATCGTTTGATTTTATACCTTAATGTTTACCTTTTGAAAGGGGGCATGCTTCATCTGAACAAAGGAATCTTGCACCTTGTGTGTACTTGGTTATAGTTGTCATTGCAATCACGATTCCTTCCATCATATAAAATCTCTGAGATGTATAATCAAGTGGAAACTCACAGAGATCAAGAGCGTAACTTGGCAGAGGAGGTAAATGTGTTAATTTCAGCACTATATTAATCTGATAAGAACATAAAAATAGTATTAGTGAAAAGTATAAATCCAACTGGACTTCAAGTGCACTGCAGAATAAATGAAGTAAGTAATTTGTTAGTGTTAGGAAGCAAATTTTAACCATGAGAGAAAAGAGATTTAAAATTAAAGAAATAAAAACTTGCCAGGCGTGGTGGAGCACGCCTGTAATCCCAGCACTTGGGAGGCTGAGGCAGGAGGATCATTGTGAGTTCGAGACCAGCCTGGGCTATAAAGTGAGCTCAGGGCCAGCCTGAACTGCATAGCAAGACCCTGTCTCAAAAAGACCAAAAAGAGGGGCTGGGGATTTAGCTCAGCA